AAAAAAAAAAAAAAGAGAGAGAGAGAAACTGTTACGTACTCGCAGTATGCTACCCCGCTACCAATCTTACTCTTGGAGAAAAGGGGAACAGTTGGTACTTACATACATACATTACTTTATTTACCCTTGGATTTCAGAGTAGCTTACGCAACTAATATGTGAGAGATACACCACACCGGGAATCGTCGATCAGTGTGTGGGTTCTTTTACGTCCCACAGAATTAATCATGAAGAGTTGTGAAACGGGGCCTACGGTTTATCGTCCTTATCCGAGAAGACTAGGAAGTCTAACCATTTGCAGATGTCATTACAAAGGCAGCACTTTCTCCTCAATTATTTGAAGACCCTGAGTGTTGGTCCGGCCGGGGCTTGAACCCGCGACCTCCCGCACGCTAGTCCGGTGCTCTACCTCTGAGCTAACCGGTCGGCAGTTTTGTAGATTATTCGGCGGTTGGTAGATTATGGTAGTAACATGCCTTATGTTTCGGCCAATGGAGGGCCGCCATCTCAAGAGTTAACAATAATTGTGGAAATATTTAACCAGCCAAAAGCGGGTTGCGTTTCTTTTCCGAGCCAAACAAAACATTTTACCGTACAACGTGAACAGCGCTAGGTTCGAATTCCGCCGCGTTCTCGAGTCCGGTCGACGTTCCTCTCCGAACAGCGGCTGGTAATCGAGCCTAGACCAGCGCCTTCCGTTTAGTTATTTCAAGCCATGTAGACAATGAGAGCGCTCGGGATGTAGCTTATGCTTATGCACTAGTAAAAAAAGCCTTTAAATTTCCCACCACAGGCACATATATACCTAAAGCTGTACCTGACATGTAGACGTCCAACGCAGCAAGAGCATCGTTGCGCTCAATGGCGTGCAGTGCCCAGATGAACTCTGCCAATGTTAACCAAGGCTGCCTTCCTCCAAGATGGCGAATCAGTGCCTCTGTAGGACTTACGGTTTCTTCTTGCGTTGGTAAAAGATCATCCAAGGTTTCCTTCTCAATTCCAAGTCTGCTTCCAAGGCGTTTCAAATTCGGAACCTTTGTTGTGCGTTGCCTCTTGTTCAAAAGTTCACATACTTCGTCCATGATATCCATGTCTGCTATCAACTCTTTTATGAAAAAATCTTTTTTAACTATAAGTGTAACAGAAAATGAAGAACGCCTTTCATTTACTCTTCCATCACTGATTGAATATTAGAAACGTGAACTTCAAATAAATCAAAGCATCTGCAGTCTACATTTGCTCTGGTTTAATACTCTAAGTAAAGTATTGAACTGTACACACTTACCTTTGGTGCTCTTTTCGATGGCAAGGATAACATCGCGTCTGTTGATAGCATCCAGATGTTCGATCAATTTTCCAACGGTCAATCTGGGGAAACGCACTTTCAAAATGTCAAACAACTGCTCTGTTGGGTTGTCAGTGCTACAAGTTTCAAAGCTCGTGAAAGTGGTCCTCGCTACACCAAGTTTAGCTGCCAAATCTGCCCAGTCTTTCAAACCCAATTTCTGCTTATCCAAAAGGAAAGCCATGTCCCCAATGATATCTGGATCACTGTCGAACAGACTGCACACCAGTGTATCGTCATTCAGACTCCGTTTGGATTCGTGACCTGGAAAAATAACGGCTCAAATTGAAAGTTGGCAACTACAAAACAACTTGGACTTATCATAACCTGTTTATATGTTTATACAGAATAATTCACAAAGGTTTCCCATCACTGCGGGTGAAAAAATAACATGAACTAATCAACAAATAAAAATGTGATAATAAATGTGACAAAAATATGCACATTCGATGGGTTATGTAATAATTAAAAACGGCAAATTTGAAGGCGTCTACAATCACTTTTATTTTATTTTATTCTTTTTTTTGACCATCATGCACGGTTGATGGCTCATATGGACTCTCCTGACATCAAATTGGTGCACGGAGTTAAAAACTTAAAAGTGGGTGCATTTTTCCTTGTTCGGCCCACACTGCCTGCATCAAATTTATTAATAAGTTCCATTTTGTGATTAAGTGTACTTCTGATTGTCATAAAACCGCACACCTAATGTGAACAATGCAAATCGAAAATTAGCATGTTTAGAGGAAACTTACTGCGTTTTCACATGTTAACCCAAGATAGGAAACTAAAGCTTTGCCCCCAGATGTGGCTGCCCATATGTAGCAATATTCAATCCTCTTTGATTTATATTTGATTTAAACTTATTTCCTTTTAAATTTAAACTTCACGTCCAAAATTTATTTAAATTTAAAACAAATTTACTCTTTTTATCCATTTAAATTTAAACTTTTAAAATGTCTTTTAAACCTTACTGCATTATTTCTTTAAATTGCTTAAGTTTGATTTAATCCTTTTTATTCATTTAAATTTCAACTTTCAAAATTTTATGTAAACCAAACTTACGAATTATTTGTATTTGATTTAAGGTGGCTCAAAATAGTTTCCAACACCTAGATTTTGATGGGTCATTATAACCACTCTTTATCACTTGATGCTACAATCTTGGCATCAAAAAACTGCCCAATCATTGGTGAACACATTATCATTTGTGACACAATAGGTTACCATAGTAACAGTATGACCTGCTAAAAACACCCTTAATTACAGCTTTAGGGGCCTATAATTCAAAACCTGCACGTTGAAAATTTTTTTATCTTATCAAATTTTAAATAAGCATGATAAGACGCAACTTTCAGCAAAGTTTGAAAAAATTCTGTACATAGGGTTAAGAGCCACCTAAAATTTTCAAAATTTTAAGGTGGCTCTAAACCAATGATTAGGTAGTTTGGTGATACAATGATTGTTGCATCAACTGATAAATAGTGGTTATAACAACTCATCAAAATCTAAGTGCTGGAAACTGTTTTGAGCCACCTTAAACTGCAAAATTCTATTTAATCTTCCTGGGGCAAGCTCAGCCATCTGCACCCATTTTGTTTTTAGATGTATTGTCAGTAAATATGAACAAAGGCAGCAAAGGCAAAGTTTCCGAATTACTAAGCCAAGCATCCAGGCTTTCCCCTTCATCCTCCAGCACTGCTTTGAACCTGCTGTGAATGCCAGTTGTTCAGCAGCGATACCGCAGGTGATGATCAATGAAATTGTCAGGCGTGCTGAGGGAGTGCTTTGGGAAAGTACATCCACCGGCCTCTGTGGGTGATTGAACTGACAAGAACATTTGAGAGCGACAGGTAAAAAGGTCTAAAAAGTGTTGACAGCCTGCAGTTTGCAGATGAATCGGATCGCTTTAACTAGGATGTCTTCTTGGGATTTTCCCTTGTGATATGAGATAATGGAGCTCCTTGAAGACTTCACTCAGTTGCGATTGACTAGCCATAAGGTCAAATTCACAGCTGAAATCTCAGAACAGAAACTACAGTTGAACCTCCACTAATGGCCACTTTTTTTTGTCCTGATGGACGGTCCAGACAGTCTCGCTTCACAATTATCTCCTCAGAGCTTTATTATCTAGCTCTCTGCACGCACTGCAGGCCTATGATGAGGGAGCATCATAGGCCTGCAGTGCGTGCAGAGAGCTAGATAATAAAGCTCTGAGGAGATAATTTTTGTAACAGCCACATAAAGCGTGTCACGACTGCCAAAACAACCACTTGACAACAGCCAACTGATTAATCAACGACTGACGAACAGTGTATACAAAAACTCATTTCTGTTGTAAAAGGTGAGGAAAATTGTGCAGTACTGCTCGTGGTCGTGATTGGTCTCTGTTTTTATTTGGTTTCTGTTTTATTAAAATATTTTGATTGTGTTACATACTTTTATGCTACAATGAGCATTTTTTAAAGACAAAAATGTTGTACCCCCCGAAAAATGACAGGTGTTATATCACACCCTCACCTCCCCCATAAAAATATGACAGGTGTTATATTACACCCTCACCTCCCCACAACGGCCACCTTTCTACAACGACCACTTTCCTCTGTCCCAAATGTGACTATTGCGGAGAGGCTTGACTGTACAAGTGTTCAAAAAGGTGACAGATTCAACAGAGAGTGTACATACATAACAAACCTACAAAGACCTTTCTATTCGTGTCACCCACCAGGCATCACAAAAGGCTTTATCAAAGGGGAAACATTGAGGCTTCTAAGAACAAATTCCTCTAATTCGTGTTTGAGGAAAACATTTTAAACCTTGCCATCAGAATGGAGGTTACCAAGGAAGAACACCTCTCAGAGGTTAAATTCTCTGATAGGAGAGCGTCTCTAGCATAGAACAATAAAACTGCACAAAAGAAAATACTGCTTTTTGTAATGCAATAAGGCTGAAGCATATGAAAATTGATACACTGTACCCTATTTAGGAGCCCCCGTTATCTCATATTGCAAGGGAAAATCCTAAAATAACATCCAGTTAAAACTATGCTGTGAAGGTTTCAGAACTGATTCATCTGCAAGCTACAGGCTTTGCGCATGCCTGCCAACACTTTTTACATGTCACTCCCAAATGTTCTTGTCAGTTCAATTGCCCACAGAGGCCGGCGGATCCCGGGGGGTGGGGGGACTTCGCATAAAAAAGGGAGAGGATGCTTGTTGGAAATTTTGAATTAAACCCCTAAAGGAGACCAATCATGGTGTGGCCCCGGATTTTTTGACCCCTAAAAAACACCGTATTTAAACCATATTAAATATATATTTTTATATTTCTTCGCATGAAACCTTAAACGAGACCTTCACGGCTACATATGGGCTACATATGGGCTACATATGAGCTACATATGATGGCGTTTTGCCCAGAATACCCTAAGTGAGACCAAAATCCAAAATTTACACCCCTAAGCGAGACGATGAGCATCCCCACCCCTTTTATATGCAAGTCCTCCCCCCCTCTGGGTGGCAGATGTACTGTCTTGAAGCATTCCCTCAGCACGCCTGAGAACTTCATTGATCATCACCTGCAGTATTGCTGCTGAACAACTGGCATTCACAGCAGGATTTGAAGCAGTGCTGGTGGATGAAGGGAAAAGCCTGGATGCTTTGCTTAGTAATTCTGACACTCTACCTTTGGTGCCTTTGTTCATATTTACTGACGATACATCTAAAAACAAAATGGCCGCTGGTGATGAACATGTGATCTACATACGTGAACCTGGCCAAACTTGCCCCCGGAAGGTTAAATGGAATTTCACAGTTTAAATCAAATACAAATTCATAACTTTGGTTTAGATAGAATTTTGAAAGTTTAAATTTAAATCAATAAAAAGGATTAAATCAAACTTAAGCAATTTAAAGAAATAATGCAATAAGGTTTAAAAGACATTTTAAAAGTTTAAATTTAAATGGAAAAAAGATTGAATGAAAAAAATGAACTAGTATTAAATACATTTAAACAAGTTTAAATAGAAATTTGTTTTAAATTTAAATAAATTTTGGACTTGAAGTTTACATTTAAAAGCAAATAAGTTTAAATTAAATGTAAATCAAAAAGGATTAAATATTGCTACATATGGGCAGGCATACCCAGATGCTATAGCAAGACTAATACTGATCAGAATAAAATCTAATGCACAATTAAATCACTGTTACTCACATTTCTCATGTTGTAAAAGTATGTCGATGACATCTTTTCTCTCAATTTGGGCTAATCCATGTTTCAAGGAACCAACTGTGATATGAGGGCTATCAGACTTTAAAAACTCAAACAAAATCTCTGTAGGACTATGAACTTTATTGCATTTAAAGTTCTGATAGTCTTTTTCAGGAATGCCAAAAAACTCAGCGATGTGCTTCCAACATTTGCAATGGCCATATTTGTATTCTTGATCCAAACATCTACTCAGTTTCTCTAAAAGCTCCAAGGAGTCCAAGAGGGACTTGGTCAGTGGGTCACCTAAATTGTTGCAGACAAAAAATTCAAAATGTTAAGTTATTTTTAAAATCTTTAAGCAGCAGCTTGTAAATTTTACAACACTTCAACGAAATCTACCTCTTACATTCAAAAAGTTGGTAGGGGCATCAGATCGCATGCTGCCAATCAATGGAAACATTTGAGGAACTTACATTTAATGAATTTGAAAGTCCTACGCCTCACCTGTTACCAGGTCCATATATAAGGTTTCTCAAATTCACTGAAACTAACTGCTTGCATCAGCCTACTTAAACATAATGCACGTTCACACTATTACCTACTACTTAAAAATGTTTGCATAAAAATCATCTAATTACGTACATTTTTTTCAAAGGTTTACAGTTAAGTCAGATATTGAGTTACTTCAGAGTCAGAAAATTCAGAAAAAATGGGGGTCACCGACTTTCTTTCAGAGATTAAGTCTGTGGAAAACTATGGTACCCTGATTTTGAAAACTTGCAAGAAACATGGTCTCCTGGGTTTTGTTATGAATTAAAGATGATCAAGGAAAACTATCTTGTGATATTTTGCATAAGTAGGTCTGTCGCATTAATAATTCCAAATGTTGCCATCCTTCTCATAAAACTAACTCTTAGAGATTTAAGGATTTGATGATGTGCAGTTGATTTAAGAGCTCAAAAAGCAGAATTTGATGGTGTCTACACGAAGATTTGATATTTTTAATTACACAGATTATTTCATATTTTTGCCACACAGAAAAATGGTAGAGAAGGTTCCCTTATAATACACAGGACAACAAAATTGACCTCTACCTAAGTGAAATTTTCTTTGCCTGTCAGTAGGCTGCAACTGGGTGAAAACACTAACTGAACACTTCACTTGTGGGTGCTCATTCTGTGGTAGATCAGGTGGGAAACCAGCCCTTCTGTCAATTCCTTGGCCTTGAGGAGAGTGATCCCCTGATCTGTCCTGTGGTAGATTCTCCTCTGCGTCAGCCCTCTCACCACCACCAGTTTCACCTCCTGGAGCTTCTGCTGGTGGTCCATTATTGTTTCTTCTCTGGACACTCTGGTCATCAACTCGATCGCCTAAATTTTCTGCTGGAACTTCCACTGATGGTTCACCTTTATTGTTGTTTGCTTGCGCTCTCTGGTCATCATTTTGATCTCTTAATTGTTCTACTGGACCTGGTTCCTCTTTACTGCCATTCTCAGGAGGCAAATTCACCACATCCACCTGTCCTTTCAAGTCTTGTTTTACTTCGGCTTTGTTGGAACTGCCGAAATGAAAAGATCTGAAAGATCTGCATGAATTTTCTGTTGGTGATTGTTTTCCATCAGTATGATCTGAAAACATAGGAGTATAACTTCTTCAATTAACTTTAATATAAAGGCAAGAATTGTCCCCTTAAGTATGTAGTTCCCCTAAGGTATATAGTTCAGAAAATATATTCAAATCCACTACCAGGCATACAAACTAGACAAACTAATTACACTAAAAAATTAACACACAAAAAAACAAACAAGCAAATGTAGAACCATAAATACCAAATACTATATACAGACATACATGTACATGTAAGTTACCCAGTATAAAGATTAGATTAAAGAAACCAGAAAAAGACAGGAGGCTGTCCATAATAGCCGCATATAGCTCCTCCTCTCAGATAAGGGCCCCTCCCCACACAAATAAGCACTCCCCCTATCTGCCAAAATTTAAAATGAACATTGCTCGTCAAAGAAGCGCTCCCTTCTCCTCCCACTGTTTTATGGAAGAGTAGTGAAACAACAAAGGATGCATATAGTTTTGGTCAAGTTTAATTATACACAAGTGATTATTGACACATTCAAGCACTGCAAATTGACCGTTGGAACAAATGGTAGTGAAGATCTGCTGATTCATTGCCTAAAGCAAAACTATCATATCTTGTGCAGCAGGTCTGGACCAGCTTAAGGGGTTATATTACATAGTTCTTCAAGAGAGACAGGATCCTTCTGAGACTTCTGAGGGACTAACACACACAAATTACACTCAAAAAAACTATCATATCTAACAATGATTCGGGAAAAATTAAATAAGTGCCCCCCTTGATTAAGTGCCTCCCTCAAATTACATGACACCTAACTGTTTTTTTAATTTTTATTAAAAAACCTTTATTTCTAAATAAATCATGCACATTTTGAGATTTTACTTTCATTTTTGGGGAAATGTTTGATCTTAAAGCAACCTTTTTGTTTATTACTTAAATTGCTTAAAAAGAAAAATTCAACAAAAGTAGAACTCTCAAGGTATTGTGTCACCTTAAAACTTGATTGGATACAATTATGATATATTGCTATATAATAGCCCACAAGGTGGGGGTTGGGGGGTTGAACCCCTCCACGCCTGAGGAAATTCCAGTTGAACTTCATACTTTCCTTTAAACTTTTTTTGTCACCTGTAAAGTGAAAATGCAGGGAATGGCACTTGAGACAACCTAAAATTGCATCATGCATGCATGTCTAAGGGCATGCCCACAGACAGGCCAGCACCTTCAGGGCTTGTGATAAGGTGCCATAGGTATTGAATGTTACTTCTCATTTCCATCCAATGGGATTAAAATCTCTGGGGGCTACTTGACCCCTATTTGGGTTGAATAGGACAATATGATCAAATGTGTTATTGGTCAAAGAGTTTGACTGGCCAAATCCCTAAATCATTAAGCCAGACACTGTCGGATGATTTACTGTCATTTCCAACCCTTGACCTGAAAAGGACAACCGCCCCTCCATTCTATGACCCTTTACAAGGCACAGGAATGGATGGAATTAGTCAGATTAAATACCAACAACCCTACAAATACTTACTTACATATGTCTAACTTGTCCTGAAGTAACTATTAAAACAGTTTTAAGTGGTCATCCAATCAAACTTTTTCACCAAATGCAGCACCCCTGGTTGTAAGTCTCCTAACATGTAAGGCCAAAAAATGTATATATGCAAGAATTCAAAACAGCTAGCAAAAAAAGCCAATCCTTTCAGGACATTCTCTTGGAATCTCTCAGTGCACTGTATGATAAGCAAATCTTCTCTCAATCATTTCAGTAGATAAATTTCATTAGATCTATTTCCTGCAATAAGGTATACCTGGATCTTTTTTTTCTTGAAGCTCTCTCTCCCCTTCCACTACTGCACCAGGGTCCACTGAGTTGCCTTCACGCTTGTTGCTACCTGTCAAATCTGCCACAAACTGATTTCTTGTCATTGGTGTGACTGCTGGTTCAGCAAACTTGGACATTTCAGTTCCCATTCCTACTTCACTCTTTGACTGAGGATCCAGCAGTGGATAAATATCACCCGAAGCACCAACAGGCTTCTCTGTTTCAGTTACGTCATCATGCCTCTCACTAGCTGCTGAAATACACAAAAGTGCAGATTATAATTAATGACCAGTATTATAAAAAGCAGCAATATCACTGATCAGATTTGCTAGAAAAAACCCATCAAAACATGGATGAATGAAGGGATGGAAGGAGAAAGGGAGGGAGGGAAGGAATAAATTAGGCTAAACGACAGATAAACGAAGAAGTGTGTGAGTGAATAAATACATTTTCTACATACATCTAACTTCAAGCCCCCAATCCAACATCCCAATTACAAGCCCCCTCGTGGATATAAGCTCCAACTTTCTGTAAGTCCACCGAAATCCTTTTGGACATTTTTTAGGTTCATCCTTGATAATCCAGTATGGTAAAACATATCTTTGTACTGTCAAAGTTAACAAGCTGCTAAGGAGAAGCAATATGTTTCCATTCTTTATTTGAACCCTAACAAACAGCAGACAAAATTTATTGAATCAAGCTAGGGTTGATTCCAGAACATATGCAGTAACAGTAGCATTCTTTGCCCTAAAAAGGGAGAACTGACATTACCTGAAATGTAGCTTCTATCTCTGGTCAAAATGAGAGAGTGGTATCATATAAAAAATTTAAAAAAAGGGTGGATCTGAACCCGAGAACAGAGGTTATGACGTTAACAACATGCGTCTTACATGTTGTGTTCTACCACAAGGAAAAGCACTCAATGTTCATGTGTAATCCAGTATGAAATGTATCTTTCACCTAACATATAGCTGGCACTGATGTTAACTAATCTGCGCATGCGTTTCGAACAAAGTGCTTTTGTTCTTAAGAGAATACCACTACAAGGATAGCAAGAGATTTGCAAAAACATATATATAGTTTTGTCATAACATGTTTTGCGTGGTGCACACGGGTTAACCCACCCCACCCAGGTCTCCTTCCTGCAAGGCTCATTGATTAATAGAAATTTATTAACTAACCAAACATCTAAGTTTACATCTTATTGTGTTAGTGCCTTAATACTTAGTGCCTTAATACTTACTGCCTTAATACTTAGTGCCTTAGTGAACAGCAGCCCCCTAAAACAACCCAATAGTACACTCTGCCCTAAAAAGCATGAAAACCTAAAATAGTCTGGAATATTTATTGTGTTGTAACCAATTACATGCAAGATCTCCAAACACAGGAATCAGCGAACGTGAACAGTTTTCCATCAGCCATGAAGCAGCTTTGTTTATTTGTTTTTTTTTTGGCAAAATGACATAGTCATAATTTCCCAAGTTATAGGTATGACTGCGAATTTCATTCCCTCCTTGCCC